TAGATTGGAATCTGGAAATAAAAATAATATTTTCCAAGAATAATTTTAAAAACTGTTTAAATTCTTAAACACAGTTTCATAATCTGTATGAATACTGAACCACTGAAACAAAATGTTACACGCACAAATATATTAAGATACCAGATTTCATAATCATTACAATTGCTTAAATAAATTTATACAGTTAAAATTTAATCCTGATAAAAACTTGGATCTCAGCTTTTCTGTATAATGAGACAATATATATTAATACAGATAGATGAATACAACTCAAAGATTATATAAAATTCAACCTCCACGATACATGACATGCTATACCTAAAATAATAATAGTAATATATCGAGTAAAATTTTTCATTTTCAAATTTTTGGTTTTTGATCAGCTATGGATTAATTGTAGAAATTGTGCCTTATAGAATAATTGAGATTTTATTTTATGCAGATTTAAATGTGTGACTAAAGAAATGCCTAAATAAACAACTTAAATATCAGTATAATCCTATATAAAAAATTTTTGTAAGTCAATTTTATAAGTAAAAAATTGTTACATAGTCACTTTCAAAGTAACTTCCATTGGAACACAAGCATTTGTTTTAGGACTCCTGACATTTCTGGAAATGTTGAAGGAGTGCTTCTATTTATCATAGACTTATTTCATCATTTCTATTTACTTCATTTTCATATACCTTGATTTATTTAGAAGTCAGACTTCTAATTTAAGTAAAAGTTCAAATTTAGATGGCAAGACACATATTTATTTCAGATTTTAAAAAAAATTTAAATCCGAACTTTTCTCAAGATATTACACTGCATTGAAAGGTCATGGTGTCAGGTTAAGCTGTCATAGATAACATTTCCTCAATTATAGAGAGTATAACAATGGCTCTTAACAGTAAAATACAAATATTGCAGGTTTTTCTGACACATGACTTGATTTTTCCATGAACTTTTTAAACAGGGGAATCTATCTAATATTGTATTTTAAATGCAGATTACACTTGCATACTAATTGTTGATCTTTTTTCATATAAAAATGTTCTTTTTTCTTTTCAAAAGTTCTTTCTCTGCATGCCATCAGTGTACTAACAAAGATTTGAATACAGACGGACATAATAAAATATTTTTACTTGCAATTGTTCTGTTATTTTTGTTACAAGTGCTATGATTTGCAATAATGCTTAATGTAAGACCTATACATAATTATAATTTTTAACTGTTATACCAACAAGCATTTACACATTGCAGTGCCCAAGTTTTACATCGTACTTACACATATTTATTTATTTGAATCTTATTTTGGTACACAATATGTTTTAGAAAGGTGGCTCAGAATAAATTTCCGTTAAGTACTGATGCTATATATGTAATTTCCAGTTGCAAAATTTCTTTAAAGAAGGCTGAGAATACATGAATTTTAGCACCGGGAGTAAAATGGTTTTGAAACTATAAAATTGTACGATTTCAGTACAGCAAAAATGACCAACAGTAAAATGTTCATTACACGTTAAAATAAAAAAGTCAAAAATAAAAATTTTAAAAACAAAATCAATGCCATTAAATGCAAACTTTGAGGCATCAGAAAATTAATAATTTCTTAGGTCCAGCTAGAAATTTAATCACTTGTGTTGGTTTATACAATACAGTTTCATTAATCACCATTTGTTTAAAGACTGCTTTGTGAGGATCGGAGAATACAGTCAAACCTATTAAAATGAACTATAGGGGCCTGAAAGTTTGGTACCTGATCTTGTAAGAAAAATGGATTATCTTACAAAAAGATGTAAAAATTAAGAGATAAATCAAGGAAAAAATGATTAACATTACGTCTTGAAAAGAAGTCATGACACCTCTCATTTAAAAAAAATCATATTAAGTGTTCATCACAAATATTAAATTTATTTTCTTTCTTTGTCAGTTTCACCAAAATCTTATACAATAAATTATTTGTATAAGATTAAATTATTTAGCATAAAATTCATTATTCATAGACCTTAAATTACACATCTTTCTCAGCATTTACAATTATTTTATCTATAAAATTATAAAAACATAAAAATTGTATAACAAAAACATTAACGAATTTAACTTAACTCTCAATGCAAAAATAATCCATAATTTTTTGCTGGCATGATCCAAAATGAATGAAAATTTTATTTAAATGATGGCATCATTTTCGGTGCTAAAGAAAAAGAATCTTGGAAGTCAATATTTTTCATTTTAATTTCTGCCACATCTCCGTCACTAAAATCTTTGAATGTAACACCATCATCATCATGTGTTTGGGCAAGCTACATATTACAACATTACAACTAAAAATACTAAAATGCCATTTTTCTTTTTTCCTAGCTATTTGGTTATAGAAAATTCCTCATTTCCATTCACTTCCTCTCTAAGAGCTTTTGCTAAATAAGCATGCCAAAAATAGTTCTATATTTTTTACATATTTTGCATGCTTATCAATCAAGCATAGAATCTTTTGCTTTTTCTCAGAAAATCTTTCATCCTATTTTCATAACTTTTTAAACAGCTTTGATATAATCCATGCCTTACAATTAGCTTAATGGGGAACAAAATTTTTGCATTTCTTAAGCCTCTCAGTTTTTGAGATTTTCTAATCCCCAACAACCTGTGACACTAGTTCAATTCTGCACTAAAGATAAGGAACACATTATGAACTATAATTCACATTTATGACACAGAAAACTTTCATCAATACAGAGTGAAGAGAATTATATTGATGAAGCTTTGCCTTTTCTGAAAGGTGAGAAAATGGAGGTCTGTCCTCTCCATTGTTAAATGAGAATGTATTCATTTCCTTCAATATGTTAGGTCTTTCCAAAAATTCTGCAGTTTTTAAAATTGAAGCACATTTTCTTCTAATTATTTTGTTACTGCTGATATGGACTAACATTAACTGAAGCGGATGTTTAAATAAGTTTTTTTCTGCTCATGTTACATAATTCTAGATAATGTTGTAGCATAATTTTTGTTTCAGTACAGTGCTAAGAATGTACAACTCAAAATTTTACTTTTGTCATATTATGTTCATTCATTTTAAAAAAAGGAAAAAATGCTAGTCAGACTGCTTATAAAATTTTTGCTGTATATGGGAAAAGTGCTATTTCTGATGACACAGTCTGGAAGGCAAGTGATGTTTCTGATGACACGGATGGTTTCAGAAGTTTAAGCATAGAAATTTCAACCTCAAATATAATGTCTGCTCTGGATGACTACCTTCTGTAAATAAGAACCTATCAAAAGAAGATATTGCAAAAAATCGTTGTTATACAATTCAGGGACTACCAAATAGAATAAATATTTCCAAAAGTACAGTGCATGATCATTTGAAGAAGACTGGGCCACTACAATGTATGGATACTCATATTTTAAAACAGCAGAATATGCTTCCATGTGATTCTTTATTAAAAAAAAAAGTATTGCTTTGTATATTGTTGCATTACAAAGGAGTTGTACACTCTTAATTATTGCAACCAAATCAGACAATAAAATACTATTCCCAAATAGTAGTGTTAAAAGCAGAAATCAAAGCAACAAAATAACTAAACTTCAAAGAGTTGTCTTCCATCATGGTAATGCTTGGCCTCACAATTTTGAATTACTTCTTTCTCAATAAACCTAATGAATGCTTTAAAATGGAGTTTTTCAGCTGCCTGAGATAAGATAAAACATCACAGAATAAAATGGTGTTTGTGTGATTCAATGAAAGTTCTTACATTTTAGTGTTGCTTCATTTGTATTTATCAAAAAAAAAAAAAAAAAAAAAAAAACTACATAGTTTTTGGTATACACATGTATATTGAAATATATGTAAGGTTGCAAACCAAAAAAAACTAATATGTATATGTATAGCTGCAAACCAAAAAAGAACATTTACAAAAAATTTCCTAAATCATCCAAAAGACCTAAAAAATGCAACTCTCCATTCAGAAGACAACTTGATAAGCACTTTAAATGCTTAAAACAAATTGATAAGGATTAAAAAAATTATATTCCTTAAAAGACGAATCAGCAGTACATCCCCAATATCATAAGAATCTATTCACTACCTCATTTTTCCCTGAACAGCAAACATTTCACATTTTCTATCATGGCATCAGCCTTTAACATAGCTCTGTCTCATAATTCAGTCAAGGAATTGAGTAGAACTACTGAACCCCTTCAGGTTGTTTGGCTTAATGGTCACCGACACCATCTAGTACTCTTAGGTACTCTTAGTATGTCCTGGTTCTCCAAACATTGTGTGCTAAGTTTGCTTTGCATGGCCTTTGTTTGGAGTACAGGTGGAAATAAAGAACAGTATATAAAGACTTTCAGTTGTTCTTGCTTCAAAAAAATTTAGTCCTACAATACTAAACATGAGTGATTTTTAAGTAAATACTAATTGTTCAGTTTAAACTTGCAAAAATTGTGAAACATACAAAAAGGTATCCATAAAGTTTGTTTTACCTGATTTTCATACATTTTGATGTTGGTAATAGTAAATAGGTATATTAGGAAATTGGACGGAGCCAATGTGTTCATTCATAATGAGTGGTTTAAACCAGGTTTGCTATAATGGAGTTTGACTGCATTTAATTTCAATCTAAAATATGAGCTGAAAAGTTATCTAAAAGCAAAATATTTTCTGTCTTCATGAATACTGCACATAAAGGTACCAATCATTTCTGAATTTAACTCATTAATGAATGAACATTGATACCAATCATTTCTGAATATAACTCATTAATGAATGAACATTGATAACCATTATACCTTGCCGATATAATGGTTATCGGTATTAACCAAATAACTGAGCTATATTATTATATTTAAATACTATAATATATATACTTTTTTTTAATTTATTATTTGTCCCCTTTCTCTGATCTTTGCCAACTCACTTTTTGATGAAAAAATTGAAAACAAATAATAAATATAAATTTTTGAAGTTCTTTTATAAGGTTTTATATACTTTAACGAGTTAGAAAACAGAAAACAAATGTAAATAATTTGTTTTATCACTTTTATTTACATTAACTTAATAAATGTAATTTATCTGTGGTCCATCTAAAATGCATAGGCAATTCAGCTGTAAGTGTCAGGTCTTCACCTCTGAAAGAAGGCAATATTATACTTCTTAAATGAAGCATTGTTGGTATCATAGAATGCCCAGCAGCACCTTTGGGTACACCTAATTCTTTTGCTATCTTTTCAGGTAAGGGCTAGAAGGAAATTAATGTAATAAGTGATTTTTCACAGACTACTTACAAAAATAAACACATCTTTTGAAAAAAAGGCAGAAATTACTTTATAAAGTGGGTTCCTGATTTTATGAAAGTGTACAGATTGCAAAAAGGTTCATGAAAGGAAATGGCTTAAAAGAGCAATATACAAACTACATTTTTTAATTTTTAGCTATATTCACTGTATAATGCGAACTCTTTTCCTTATGAAGAAGCCTGAAAGATACAAATGTGATGCTTTTATTTTTTAAGTCATTCATTCGAAATTTTTCTCAAGCTTTCGAACAATGTTATACTGAATAGACAAGCGGTAAGGGGAACAATATGTGTGTGTGGGGTGCTTGAAGGCGTAAATGATTCTGGCAAAGAGGTTTAGTTGCATTCATTGCAACTGTGCACATGAATATTGTTATAGGATTTCAAGAAAATGTGGATATAATTTAGGGTACGAATTGGGACATAATTTGGGGCCCTTTTGAACAAATGAATTCGCATAATTAGGAGTTGGATGTTTTCTCTTTCTGTAGTCATTTGAAGCTGTGATTTTGAAGTGAACATCAAAGACTTTAGTAAATTGCATTTGCTTTAGTTGAAATACAGTTGATCTAGTGTTCCTTTTTGTAACAAAATTGACTCCTGCCAATGAAACAAACACAGTACTGGTTTCAAATGCAAATTCATTCAATTTGCGAATGAAAATGGAAATCATGCTGCAGCAAGGAGGTTTGCTCTTGATGAAAGCTCCATATATGAGTGGAAGGAAAATAAAATCATAATAATTAATGTGGCTAAGAATAAATGTGCTTTGTGTAAAAAAGTTACAAAATGGCCTATTGAAGAAAGTGTTGCAAATTGCGTCTAGAAAATCTCCAGAAAGGATTAATTGTAACAAGAAACATTCGTTTACTTCCCCTTTAAGTGGGCAAAAATGAATGTAAATGAAAGTGAAAACTTAAAACAACTTTGAATTGGTGTAGTCGATATATGGCTCATAATTATTTATTTGTGTGGGAAAAAACAAAGGCTTCCAAAAGATTTGCACAACAGATTGATAAGTTTCCAAAAGTAGGTTACTTACCTACGAAGGGAAAAACAAATTATTGTAGCATACTGGAAATATGGATGAAACTACAGTAATGCTTAATATGCTAGGAAATAAAACAATTGATGTGAAAGGAATAAAAACGGCTTACGTAAAAACAATAGGTCACAAAAAAACACCTCATAGTAGAGCTTTTCTGCTGAGAGAATGGTACAAAATTAAAACGTTATTTTTAAAAGAAAGGCGATGCCAAAATGTAATTTCCCTTATTGTATTTTCATTCATATTCATAAGAAAAGATAAGTGGAGGAAAATAGTGTGAAACTGTGGATAAGAAATGTTTGGCAAAAGCATTCGATTGCCTTAATGATTCCAGAAAGTCTTTTAGTTTTTGCACATTTAGATCTCATCTAATAGATAATACAAAGAAATAGTTGAAAGAGACAAATAAGGATTTACACCAGCCTTTAGAGCCTACCAGCAACTGAGTGGTAAAGCTGCTGAACACTGGTAGTTTGATTCAGGGTCTGAATCAAGGTGAACAGACTGGCTGAATGAGGGTTTTCACGGTTTTTCTCATGTGTAACATGCATACCAGCCAGTTTCACTTGAAAAGTAACGATTACTTCCCTTAGGCAGATAGCCCTCGAGTGCTTTGCCACAGCTAAATAAACCAAACCATTAGCCTTTAGATTTGTGTATCAATAAATCATTCAAAGAAAATTTTAAATCATAGTGGAATACACGGATGTTAGAGGGTGAAAAAACATTTATAAAAGGAGGCCAAATGATCATGCCAGTCTAGGAATAGTATGCAAGTCGATAAACACTGGAATGAAATTAAACCCAGTGTAACTCAAAAGTTATTTTAGTTTTATCTCAGTCTAGATGGAATGGAAGATGATTATTTATGGATCAGAGTAATAGTGATAGTCGAGATGAAATAGAATTCAATTATGTTCTGGAAGATTGAAGATATTATGGAAGATGATTAAGACTAATTGTTCATGTTACCAATAATGAAAATTTAAGTTCGTATGGTATCTCATTTCTTTTAAATAAACAGTATTGTAGAAATCTAATTTTTATATACTCATCTTTTCCTTATTTTTTAATTTTTAAATCTATCATTTTTATATCCAGCGTATAACACACACCTGTACATTTTGATCTTATTTTTGTATTAAAAGTGAGCATTATACAGCAGAATATATGGTATATATATTGAATATACACAGTCTAGTCACATTAATGTGACCACCACCTACTTTCAATGTCAATATTAAATAATCAATCACAGAAGGCAGGTAGGTGACAGCGTATTGCACTGGAGTGGTGTAAAGGAGTGGTGTAAAGGGTGTCCAAAAGAATCAGAAAACATTGCAGTCGTTGTCATAATGCAGAAACAGAGCAATTTATCAGACGTTGGAGGTATGATCACTGGCTTTCGGGCGAAGAGTGGAAGCATTTCCGAAATGACCAATTTTGTAAACAGTTTGTGTGCCCCCTGGTAAAAGTACACAATGCATAGCGAAATGGCCCTATCCAAAATCAGTGACATGGCAAATGTGGTGGACCATAGGGACAGAGGTGAATGATGTCTGCGGTGAATAGCATGAAACTGACTGCCCAGATGAATCACGAGGCTACCAACAGCATCTCCTCTACGAACGTTGCTGTGTATGGGCCTCTGCAGCAGATGCCTGGTTAAAGCACCAACAGTTCTTCAGCAACAAACAGATGCTGGAATTCACATGCAGTACTGCAACTGGACATCCACTGAGTGGGGACAGGTGGCTTTTTCCGATGAATCCCATTTTATGCTCCAGCAGACAGATGGATGTTGGCGTACAAGATGTGAAGCGTCTGAAAGCAAACACCCTGCAACAATTGTCAGAAGAGTCCAAGCTGGAGGAGGAGCATTATGGTGGGGGGGGATGTTTTCGTGGCATTCTCTGGGTGCATTCATCATTGTGGAAGGCACGATGGATCAACAAAAATATGCACCTGTCCTTACGAACCATGTCCACCCCTACATGCGAATTGTTTTCCCTCAGAATGATGGTATCTACCAGCAGAACAATGCGAAGTGTAATACAGCTTGCAGTGTTAAGTCATGGTTCGAAGAGCACCAGGATGAGTTTGATGAGTTTACTATACTCATCAGATTTAAACCCAATCAAGAAACTGTGGGACCACTTCCACTGGGTCGTTCGCACCATGGATCCTCAACTGCGTAACCTAGCGTAGCTGGTCACCGCACTGGAATCAACATGGCTCAGCATTCCAGTGAACACCTTCAAGAACCTAACTGACTCTCTTCCTGCACGTTTGGCAGCAGTCCGCTCTGCGAAAGGTGGTTATTCTGGTTTTTGACAAATGGTCACATTAATGTAACTGGACTGTCTACTGAATTATAAGTAAATGAGAAAATACTACAAACAAACATAACATACATCTAATAAACAATTATGTAAAGTGAGCTATTCACAATAAACGCAGATACATTATTGACTTACTTATTAAGAAATAAAATATCACTGAGAACTTTTCAGGGTTCATACAAATTTTTGCACATGGAAATTAAGTAATTTTAAGGACCATTAAATAAAAAAAAAATTAAGCACCTATGAGCAAATGGGAACTGAATTCAATTAAAAATATTATCTATGCCTGAACTTCACTTTTGTAATGCGACCTAAAAATAAAATAGATCCGTAACTAGAATGCATTATTAAATATGAATTAATTAACATAATTATTAATAGGTTTGAGAATAAAATAAACTTCATGAAATTTATAAAGTAGAATTAAATATTTTACACTTATAATAGTTGTACATATTTGAAAGAAGATAAGTGACATTTTATTTATGTTTTACTAAAAGTTCGCTTCATGTTGATTCTTTTTATATCTCACTTTGTCACATACTTTCTCAGCCTAGAGGTTTAGTAAATAGAAAGTAGATTTTATGTCAAACAGCATAAGTTAAAATGAGAAGTAAAATCATAATCAGCATGATTCATAATAAAAGTTGTCACTGCTGCTGCTTGCCTAGAGAGAGACCTGCTGATTAGAACAAACCTGAAAGGCCTGATGTAGACACGGTTGACAAGTTTTGAAAGTTAGTTGGGGGTCTGTCTGATGCAAATAGTGTCATAGCTCTGTGTACGGTTCCAGAGGTTGTAGCCCAATTAATATACTTTAAGGTTCCAATAAGCCTCTAAAGCACCAGAGGTGATAAGTTGTTTTGTATTATTTTAAGTCTCACTAAAAGTAAAGAATAAGTTTTATGTGAATTTTTATATTTTTGTATTTTATCTTGTGACCACAGTAAGGATTAATGAAAGACAATAACTCCCTTTAATACGCAGAGATAACTTTTAAGGGTAAACAGTTAGTTATAAATAATTAAATTAGGTAGTTATATAACTTTAGTCATTATGGATTGAAATGGTGACTATTAAATTTTATTTACTGTTTAAAAATATGTGTTTAAAATAATGTGCTTTAAAATAAGAAAATAATGTGCTTTTTACGTTTAAAAGGCCCTATTAAAATCACAATCTAATAAAATTTCACAGTTTAAAATACATGCAATTTATGACATTTATTCTTAAACAATATTAGGATAATTACACATTAAAAGCTACAAAACATGCATATTTTGTAGCAACAACACTCAACAAAACATTGAACTCTTCCCAGACATTTTGGCTAATTTATATCGATTTCCTTCTCAAGCATCTTTTCTAACAATCAGAAATTTGTTTCAATATGCAAAACAATGTTCTCACTAGTTTCTGTGTGCTTTATCTCCTAATTTGTCAACCTCTCCACAATGTACCTATGAGGGTTTACTTGATCTGGTAAAAGTCAAATAGTTCACACCTCCCCCAGACATAAAGCAAACTATCTCTATATCTGAATGTAACTACAAAACCAGACAAAGGTTTAAATAAGCCTCTTATTTAAAAAGAACTTATAAAATGAAGGCATGTTCTTAAGCTAAGAAAATCAATTACAGCTCGTAGTGATGTAATTAGACAAGAAGAGTCAAATTCAAACTAAAAATGTAGACTAGTGGTCAAAGACTATTCAATTTAATTTTAATTTAATTTTAATTTAGCTGGCTCAGTAAATATCTATCATATGAGGAAATAGAAATGGGAAATTACGAGTAAAGGCTGAAATTATTAAAAACTAGGTAATTTACATAATAATAACTATACATGTCTTTGAAGAATAATTTTCTTTATGTATTCAGTTTCTTTCTTTAACATGTTTCCTTTTTACTTTGAAATGTTTGGATTTAATTAAGGATTTCTGTTATTCTAAAAAAAAAATAAATAAATATATTTAGAATGTGTACAAAAACTGCTAATTTTATTTAGTAATATGAACATTCAACAGAAGAAATATGAAATACATATGGTAAGGGCTGGTTACAGAGCTAGTATGGTACAATTTTTAGAATTTAGTGACACACCGAGCAACAAAATCTAATGGAGAAACTTTTAGAATTTAGAGCAGGCATTGGAAGCAGAATTTAGAAAGGCACTAGGCAGAAGAATCTAGGATCCTCCGAGATTGCATCCCGTGGGAAAATGCCTAGTGCCAGCCATGTGTATGATACATTAAGACATATTAGATGAATCTTTTAAATTGTCAGTTTTCAGTTTCTTTATTAATAAAAAGATTCCTTTCTATAATGCCTGTCCATATGATAAGATTAAAAGCATTTTTGATATTTTCCATGCTTGTGTCTAGTGAAAAGTAGAGAAAATAACGAGAAGATAAACATGTTAAAAAAAAGATTCTAATATCAGAAGTAAAACAATCAAATATTATGTTTTCATTGTTTTTCCAGGGTTCCCTAAAAAGTAAAAAATTCATCGCATACTTTCTGTAAAACATATCTGCTATGTGTTAATACCATGGAGACAATTATCATTTTGTCACATTTTTCTGGAATCTTTTAGAATTGTGAGTCTATAAATCTTGCCTTCAAATCCATCTAAACTTTTCAAGCTGAAATGTCTAAAATCCTACAGAAAATTATTCCTACCAATTTCTGTAATAGCAAAAAACCAGAAATATTAAAAAAAAAAAAAAAAAAAAAAAAGAGCCACGGGACAAGGAAAAAAAAAAAAAAAAAGTGTAAAATGAATTTTATAAAGAAAACTGATGCATATTCTGAGACAATTAAACGGGGAAAACTCTTACTATGAAAAAATTTTAAAAAGACACTTTTAATTAATTACATGGCTAATTTTGCTTTTGCGAAGAACTGTTTCATAAATTGGGCTTTTATAGCATTACACCTTGTTTATTTTTCAGATTCAAAACATTGTATAATGTTTGAATCTGGAAACCAAACGGAATTTTATAATATTACAGTGAAAAATAAAAAAAATTTTATTTTAATGGTATTTTTAAATGTAATTTCAATATATTACAATTATTTTAAGGAAATTTATCAATATTACAATGCTTTAAAAAAATTGTCGAAAATTAAAATTAAAATTTCTCGGAATTAAAATTTTTCTATAGAAACTAATCTTAAAATTGTCAAAATGTTGATAGGTTGCCAAATTTTGAACAGTTTTAATAAAAGAATTCACATCCCCAACAGAAAAAAGTTGTTTAAGAGGTCTTCATTAGAAAATTAAATAATTTAGAAATGCTAATGTTTCACTTCTTGCTCAGAAACTCGAATATCCCACCATTTGTATTAGAAATAGCAACAAATTATAACCCATGAACTCTTTCACCAATTCAAAAGATAACTAAATTTGTCAGTGAATCGGCAAAAATGTTCCTCCAAAATGCTAATGCACACTCAAAATGGCAGTTGTAAAAACCAGACAGAAATTTTAGATAATTACAATTAAGGACCTTTGACCGATTTTGGCCAAAATTAAGGACTTTTAAGGACCAAAAATCGATTCCAAAAAACCTAAGGACTTTTAAGGACTCTTATGGACTGTACAAACCCTGCTTTTATGTAACCACAGAACTTTTACCACTCAAAACCACAATATCATAGATAAATTTATGTAACCACAGAATTTTTACATAAAACATGAATTTCAATGAATATTAAAATATTTGAAAGATTTAGGATTGAAGTAGTAATATAATACCATCTTTGGTATCAATTCTTTGGTATAATCAAACCAAGCAAAACATTTGGTCTCAATATCAGCAGATTACTGCTTCTCTGAATAGTGAACCATTTTAGCAAAACTTCTTCAATATTCTTTTGCTCAGCTTTTCTCATATCTAAATTTTTTCTCTGAACAGAAATAATTAAATCTCAGTTTTTTCATATACCAACTATAGATTTGGATAAGCTGTATTCCCAGCAAATATTGATTAGGCTATATTAATTTTGCATTTTTTTAAAGTAATGTTCATTTTATCTTTAAAACAAAATGCTTTATGTTAACAGCTTGCCACATGAATAAATTTTTGACACTGAAATAGAGTGCAGAGAATTTAATCAAAAAATATGTGAGAATTTTGGTCTTTTGAAAAAGACTGAAAAGTCATATTCATCAAATCCAATGTCCAATGAAAATGCAATCATTTCTTCCAAGATATGTATAGCTGCAAAGCAAAGGTTCAGTAACCTTCAAAAAGAATATACTGTGCCTTGCAAAAGGCCTGAAGATTTCAAAACCCCTATTTGGAAGGCAGAACTTGGAAAATGGAGATAACTTGCTCGATTCAAGTAAAATAAACTGATAAGGAACAAAATTTCATTTCTTAGCTTATAAGATTCAATACTTCCTCTTTCTCCAAACAGCAAAAATTAACTACTTCCCAGTTTTGCCCGAATGCCATTCGGGTACTTGGAAATGGCACTTTTTTTATTTTCCCGAGCAGCGCTCAGGCAACATTTTTTTCTATACACTGATTTACCCGAATTTTTGCTTGTTTAGTGTGTAATGTTTCTAACAGATGGCGCTAGTAATCCAGTAAAGTTAGAATTGCAAACAATTGGTTTCAAGGTTAGGTTTTACTGAATTCTTTTACGCAAGTAAAGGCGCAAAATTTCTTTTCACTAGCTTGACGTTCCAGCTACTGTGAATACTATTTCTTTTAAATTTGGAGCTAAAATAAAAGAAGAAATGAATGATAATGAGCAGCTTATAACTGAAGATAACTCTGATATTGACTCAGATAGTGAATCTGAAATTTCACTAAATGATTCTGGAAGTAATGAGAGTTTGTTGTCCGAGTTCTCTAGTGATGAAGAAATCTAATGCAAATTCGGAACTTTTGTAACCTTGATATTAATAATCCTTCTTTCTTGATATTAATAATTCTTCTTTGGAATCAAACACAGATATGTAATAACAATAAAATATTTTAAATTCTGACATCTATTTTTGAGTTCTTTCCAGTTCGCTTACTTGTTAAAAAAAAAAGCCAACTTTAAGAAAATAATGTGCTTTTTACGATGAAAATAAAAATTAGCATAAATCAATAAATTCAACATTTGTAATAGTTCTGACTGCTGATTTGGGTTTATATAATGAATTTCTTCATAAAAATGTTTATCAAAAATATGCTTATTTTTTGTCATAATATGACGGAAAAAAGAAACTGTTAAGTGGTTAAAAAAATTTCTTTCATAATACTGCCTTGGCTAGTACATTCATTAACAGCTTAATCACAGAATTTAAATGGAACTGGATAATGCATTCACGTTCTTTAGTTCTAGGTCATGCACACCATATGATGTCCTAAGATATACTTTTAGTGAGTGTCCTTTTTCACCTAGAATTAATTTCACAATGATCTTTGTTTAGAATGCAATAACAAATGGAGATGAATATTATAGAAAAGTGAAGTAAAAATATTTTCTTTTATGAATGGAATGTGGATCCTAGCATGCTAAATATGAATAATGTTATGGGTTAGTTTTTTTTTTTTTTTTTTTTTTTTTTTTTTTTTTTTTTTTGTTACAATGTGAAAAAGTTTCAAGAATTAGTAAGAATTACTAAATTATTATATATTTTTAAATAAATCTCTTTTACACTCAATTTAAAGCCAAATTATTTAAAGAATTATTTTGGCGAACATGAAATAATAAATTTTTAACAATATTAAAAACATAAAATGGCACATTGATTATATCTGAAATATTATTTTACAGTTTTTGATCATTCAAAATTAATATAACTGTTGCTTCTATGTGATATTATTGTGATAAGATTTAGTAACAGTTTTACATTTATAATACACTCTTCATATCTACCTAAACAATATACTGTCTTACTACAAACAGTTTAGGACATCTGATAAAGTTTTCATTTTTTTATTTTTATTTTTTTATTGATTAAATATAAAACAATATAAATCTGATTTACCTGCATATCAAATGATAATGTTTTCTGAATTTGAGTTTTCACTGGTACTCCTAATAGAGTATTCATTCTAGAACTATATAAAACATCTCCTAGTATAGTTGCTATTCGATCAGACGCATATACACGAACAAAATGGAATTTCACTGAAAGATTTAATATGCAATTTTAAAATAAAAATTCAGAAATTAAGCATTTATACAATAAATTCAGATTTTTTTTTATTACTAATAAAATAACTCAGATTCAGTCTAAGAAAAACTGAACTTAGACTGACACTGATTTATAGGAATACAAACCAAACATTCTATTAACATCACATGAAATCCTCAAAAAAAAAAATAATTTGTTTAAATTTTAGGCTTCTAAAGTATTTGGAAACTCAGCAAGTGCTTAGAGTAATGTTTTTACTTCTTAATTTAATTATTACAGTAATTTAATAAATCAGATTTTTTGTATCACATATTTCTAGGGCATTACACATCCACAATAATTTTACTGAAAAAAAGATATTGCAATATATTTATTCATAAAAGAGAATGATCTTATAATTTTTTATCACAGCATATTAAAATAATAAATATACAGATAATTTAGTATGTAATGGTTACTCAAATTTTTCAAAAAAAGTAAAAGAACAGAAAGTGAATATTTAGTTTGTGTTAATCAAATTACCTACATTCCAATAAAATTGATTGCTCACTGTAAATTATGTGTATGTATTTTTAATTCTTCTGTATATATAATAGAGAAGGATCAAACAACAAACATTTTAGAAGCTATTAAATTAATTCAGATGAATGTATATGGCATGTTTATTGATATGTAATAAATATTTACTGTTAGCCAATAAGCATGTTCCACATATTTATCTCATTTAATTTAATAATATCTTTCACCATGTATTGATAATATGCCATAACATAACCTATGATAACATATAGCTTTTAAATATAAATAGGAAAATGATTATGTATTGAAGTGCATATGGATTTCAAGGGTTACTAGCAAGCAACCTAAAAACAATTATGCACTTAAATATAAATTTTCTTCTTTGTTCTATGAAAACTGCTTAATCATAACAGATGCTTCTTTTTTAAAAGCTTCCCTTAACTTACTCTACATGAATTTTTACTTTGGCACCAAAAAAATTAACAGTACAAAGTCCGAAATCCGGACGTCCATTATCCAGAATGATATAAAATCCTGACCTCAAAACCATCAACAGTTTGTCTCCTAGGCTTTATGCATACACATTTGATTCCCACCTACACACATAATAAAACATCTGCAGAGTCCCGATTCTTAATTTCACTTCAACACTAAATAAAATACCTTGTTATTCAAGAAACAAACATTTTAGCATAAATTTGTACCAGTAATTTGGCTCCATTGCTGCATATCTGCTTTTTGGTACACATCTCAAACCAAAATATTCCATATAGATACATCAACTGGCAAATCATTATTTATTATACTTTCCTTTCATCACTGCATGTTTATCAAAACATGACAACTTGAGTAATAACTTATGTAATGATGCCTAAACACTTTTTTATGTTAGTAATTAAATAATAAAGGAGTATGGTAACCTTTTATGTTGAAATTATGTTTGGCGATGATTACAGATTTAAGCTAAATGCACTAAAAAATATTGGCGACAAAAAATTTACCAAAAATTTCTTTCCATATGCTAAAAATAGAATTTGTTGATGATACTCATAGACCCAAAGATTACATTCAGGACTATTTGAAATAAGAATAACTGATTTGTTATTCACATAAGCCCAGAACCAGCACCAGGGCTCATATGGCTGCAAGGAGTTGCAGAATTTAGGACCCACAAAGGCTGCATCAGGTGGTAAGAAATCTAGCGCCGGCCCTGAATACGGCTTAGTTCTATGTGGGAATTTATTTATTTAGACCTCTGATAAGCTTTAAGTATGTGTCACAGTGTGCAATAGGAGCAAGATAAAATTTAACGGAACAACTTGTTGTTAGTCACCAAGCTTATGATGCGTAGCCAAATATGTATAGTGAAGGATAGCTAAATTTGATGATTTTAAAGGTTTTCGGATATCACAAAACAAAGGTGAAATTTCCCAATTAACGGATTTTGTAAAGAAATGTGGAGAAGCGGTAACAAATGAAGTTAATATAAAAGAAGTTTTTCATTGTGATGACAATGTTTCTAAATCATCAATCAATTAATGAATGGCGAAATCTGTTGTACGTTTCTAGATCCAGAAAATACCGCTACTGATAGTGAAGAAAGTGACACAGAAGTTACTGAAAACCAGAACATTTTGATTCACAAGTTAGTCAGAATTCTCAAAACAGCAGTTACAGGGCTTCAACAATGTCACTAAGCAAGAGATTATGTCTGTCTACAGAATTAAAAAAAAAAGTATTAGTACAAGCTTTTTTTTTTTTTTTTTTTTTTGTTGTTGTTGTTGTAAATTTTGATATTCTTTAGATCATAAATACTTCATTATTTCATAAATAACAATTTCATATTTTAATTTTATAATTTCTACATGCCATCTAACTAGATTTAAATTGATGATCTAATATCCAGAAAAATCTAAAATCCAGAATCACTGAAGTCCTGATGAGTCCAGATTTCGGACTTTGTACTGCATCATGTTAAAAAGACTTGCCAAAGACAAGGTAAAGTTTCCTGTTTTATTATGTTTAATAAGTTATTTATCATTTGTTGCTATCTGGCAATAGCATGCATTAATGATAACTTATCTCTCACTGCTACTGCTACTTGTGCAGGATGAATTGCAAATGAGACAATGGATTTATACATGTGTATTGAGCATATGAAGCTTTTATCAATAACAGAGAAGCTCCTTGGCCATTATCTCATCAGACAAACCTTGTCTTATAAGAAAATGTTACTCCACGCACATCATCTTCACCTCCCACAGCAATTCCATTTAAGATTCCTACACTTCACATTCTGTCTGCATTTTCTGATGGCCAGGGAGAGTCAGTTTCACTTGCAGATTGTTTTTGGATAACAGCATTCACTTGAGAAGCAGTAAGATTTAATGTGTCATCACTTGCTTTTGTGAATTCGTTGCTGCCATAAATTCTGCCACAGTAACCACCATTTTCCACTTACATTAGGCCATTCCACTGACATTAGGCACTAGTACTGAAAATCATATTCCATTAATCCTTTGCACTAACTGATCATCTTTTTCTACGATATAAACTTCATCATTACTAATTTGTTGTATTTTATTACAAAACTCACAAACATTGCACAAAACCACAGAAAAAATATTAGAGTGCATGAAAAATTAGCAATCAGATGATTTATGGAGGTACCACTAGACTCTGACTGAATGCATGATTTTGCTGAACAGCAATAAAGATTGTTATTTCTTTATTTCTAACATAATAATAATACATTTTTTAAAACAACAAAACTCATGTCAGTTCTGAAATATAACTATAATGTACATAACTGGCTACCAACCACCAATTATATTTTTATACAAATAACAGGGTTCGTACACATTTCTGCACATGGAAATTAAGTACTTTTAATGACTTTTAAGGACCATTAATGAAAAAAATTAAGGACCTATGAGCAAATGGGAACTAAATAAATTCAATTGAAGATATTATCTATGCCTGAATTTCACTTTTGTAATACCATCCTAAAAATAAAATAGTTCTCTAAGTAGTACGCATTATTGCTAAACATGGATTAATTAACATAATTGTGAATAAGTTTGAGAATAAAATAAACTTTATGCAATTTATCAAGTAGCATTAAATATTTTACACTTATAGTTGGTCATATTTGAAAGAAGATAAGTGACATTTACGTTTTACTAACAATTAGCATTATGTTGATTTTTTTTTATGTCTTATTTTGTCACATACTTGGTCAGTCTAGAGGTTTAGTAAATAAGCAGGTAGATTTTTATGTCAAACTGCCATAGGTTAAAATAAGAAGCAAAATCATAATCAGCATGATTCGATAACAAAAGACTGAATGTTGTCCACCGCTTGCCTTGTCTAGAGAGAGACCTGCTGATTAGAACAAACCTGAAAAAGCCTGATGTAGGCATGGTTGGCAAGTTTTGAAAGTTAGTTCAGTGCTCTGGCATATCTGATGCAGTTAAGTGTCGTAACTTCGTGTAGTGTACAGCTTCCGGGGGCTTGTAACCCAGTTTAATATATTTTAAGGTTCCAATAAGCCATCTAAAGCACCAGAGGTGATACGCTTGTTTCGTATGTATTTTAAGTCTCACTTAGGATGCAAAGAATATAAGTTTTACTTGCATTTTACATTTTTATATTTTTGTGCTGTATCTTGTGACCACAGTGAGTATTAATGAAAGCAAAATAACTCGCTTTAACATGTAGAGATATTTTTTAAGGATAAGCAGTTAGTTATAAATAATTAAATTAGGTAGTTTGATTACCTGTCATTATGGATTTACATGACCCACTATTAAATTTTATTTTTTAACAATATTTGTTAAAAAAACCCTATTAAAATCAAAATCTAATAAAATTTCACAGTTTAAAATGCATGTAATTTATGACACAGATTTTTAAACGATATTAAGATAATTACACATTAAAAGCTACAAACATTTATGTTTTGTAACGTTTATATCGATTTCCTTTTCTTTTAAGCATTTTTTCTAAAAATTAGAGATTTGTCTCACTATGCAAACCAATGCTCTCGCTAATTTCTGCGTGCTTTATATCCTAACTTGTCATCCTCTCCATAATGTACCTATAAGGGTTTAATTGATATGGTAAAAGTTAAATAGTCCAAAACCTCCGACAGATGTGAAGCATATTATCGCTATGTCTGAAATTAACTACAATATCAGACAAAGGTTTAAATAAGCCTCTTATTTAAAAAGAACTTAGAACAAACATAGAGGCATGTTCTGATGTTAATAAAATCAATTACAGCTCACGGTGATGTAATTAAAAAAGAACAGTCAAATTCAAACTAATAATGTGGACTAGTGGTCAAAGATTATACAATTTAATTTAAATTTAATCTGGCTTAATAACTCTATCATATGAGGAAATAGAAATGGGAAATTATAGTAAAGGTTGAAATCATAAACAATTAGGTAATTTACATTATAATAACTGCACATATCTTTGAAGAATAATTCCCTTTATGTACTCAGTTTCTTTTTTCAACACGTTTCCTTTTCATTTTAGAATTTTTGGATTTAATTAAGGATTTGTTATTCTAAAAAACACTAAATGCATTTAGAATGTACAGAAAAATCGGCTAATTTTATTTCTTTAATAATATGAACATTCAGAAACAATATGAAATATATATAGTAAAGGCCAGTTACAGAGCTGATGTGGCAGAATTTCTAGAATTTAGTGACACACCGAACAACAAAATCTAGAAATGGCAAAACTTTTAGAATTTAGAGCAAGCATTGGAAACAGAATTTAGAGCAGGCAGTTGGCAAGCAGAATTTAGGTTCCACAGAGACTTGCATCAGGTGGCAAAATGCCTAGCGCCATGTACCTATGTGTATGATGCATTACGAAATATTAGATGAATCTTTTGAATTGTACAGTTTTTCAATTTCTTTATTAATAAAAAAATTCCCTTTAATTTTCTATAATTCCTGTCCCCATGTGATAAGATCAGAAGCACTTTTGATATTTTCCATGCTTGCTGTGTAGTGAAAAGTAGAGAAAATAAAGAGGAAGATAAAACATGTTAAGAAAGCGATTCTGGAATCAGAAGTAATAACATTCAACTACTATTATGTTTTCATTGTTCTTCCATATGTTCTCCAAAAATGTAAGAAATTCATTACAAACTTTCTGTAAAATACACCCATTACGTGTTGATACCATGGAGACATTTTTCATTTTATCACATATTTCTCGAATCTTCTAGAATTGTGAGTCTATAAATCTTGCTTTCAAATCCTTCTAAACTTTCCAAGATGTAATGTCTAAAATCCTAAAGAAAAATTATCCCTACCAATTCTGTAACAACAAAAAGCCAGAAATATTTTGGAAACAAAAAAGGAGGAAAAAAGTGTAAAATTAATTTTATAGAGAAAACTCATGCATATTTTGAGAATTTTGAATACTCTGACTGAGACAATTACATGGGAAAAACTCTTACTTTGAAAAATATTAAAAAGAAGACATTTTTAATTAATTACATAGCTAATTTTGCTTTTGCTAAGAGCTGTTTTGTAAATTGTGCTTTATAGCATTATACCTTGTTTATTTTTCAGATTTAAAATATTGTATAAGTTGCCAAAATGAAACTTTATACGACAGCGAAAAATAAAAATGTTTTATTTTAATGTTATTTTCTAAATATAATTTCAATATATTACCATTATTTTAATGAAATTTATCAATGTTATGATGTTTTAAAAAAAATCGTCGAAAAATTTTCCGATTTTGGAATTAAAAAGTTTCTATAGAAACTAATCTTAAAATCGTCAAAATGTTGAAAAGTCGCCAAATTAGAACCGCTTAATAAAGAATTCCACATCTTCAAAGCGAAAATTGTTTAAGAGCTCTTTACTAGAAAAAATGAATTTCGAAAAGCTTATGTTTCACTTCTTGTTAGAAACTTGAGTATCCCATCATTTATATTAGAAATAGAAACAAAGTTGAACTCATGAACCCATTCAAAAGATAACCATATATACGGCAGTGAATCGCCAAAAATATTCCTCAAAATGCTAATTCACACTGAAAATGACAGTGGTAAAAACAGACAGAAATTTCAGATGATTAAAATTAAGGACCTTCTGCTGATTTTGGCCAAAATTAAGGACTTTTAAGGATTCTTAAGGACCGTACGAACCCCGAATAAAGCATCTAGCGACAACTATGAATGTAAATAAGATCTGCATGTTAAAGACACATATGAATGTTCACTAGATACGTGATGTTAAGAACTGAAAACAGGGCAGGTACTTTATGAAAAGTTATTTATGTTAACACATAGCAACACCATGAAGCATAGGGTGAATTTGTCAATCTTGTAGATTTGCTCTCCCATTAGCACTGTAAATCAGTATTTTTTTAAAAATGCAGTATTTGAAGTGACTGCAGAATATTAACAATCTATTGCTATGTAAAAAAGGTAAAAAACGAAAGTTTCCAACAAAGAAAAGAGTTAATTCTACAACTCTATTTTACATGGCAGAGTTTTAGACAGAAATGTATTAATGATTGCAAAATATTTTCTGAAAATGAAGCAGTGAAACAACAGTAAAAAATAAGTAATATCACACATTATGCTACTATGATGTTAATACACAAACTTTAAAATAATTTCCAAAACATTACATAAAAGAAATTAGCCACAACCCTTCTTGAAGAAGATCATTTGTGCAGGTACTGTAATCTCAGTAAGTAACATGCTAGTAGTCAAATATCATTTCTCATTTTAAAACAAATAGTGGCAATTTGATCAACAGACTGAAACACTGACTATGCTCACATTAAAATAATTTTATCATTTTATAGTGCATTTTATAATGCAGGGTCTTATCTAAGAGACAGTTTTTATACACGGTTAATGATGATTGTAGAAGACAGTAATTACAAAAGATTACTCAGAGTAAAAAAAAACTTAATGTTAAATTCATATAATGAAAATATTAATTTGCACCTAATCAAACTACAAATATATTACCTGATGATGTAGCAATTTCTACTAAACTTGTAGGTAATGCTGGATTGGTAGATAGTACTCTAAATTCAACAAGGACTGGGTGTATTCTTTTTAATGCAACTGCTCGACGACTCACATCATTAACAATTACAGGCTGTGAAAGAGAAATAAGATCAAATAAAGAAATACTCTACTTTTTGACTTCATAAAATGAAAATCATTAGTGTATATTTTTGTTCACTTCTTTCACACTGCTTCTGAAGTTCTTAAAAATTCAGTATCCTCTCCAACGTAATTTCAAACATTAATGAAATTATGCATTTTTGGAAAATAGCTGGACCTACTTAACATTAAATCGGTTTTAAAACATCAGTCTACTAATAACTTCGCTGACAATTTTGTGCTAAAACAGAATGTGGCATCAATTGTAAAAAGGCAGTCCCGCACCAGCGCAGTGTGTTAAGTGATGTCTCAGTAGTCAGGCACATGTTTATGAGGGAAGAGTCATTTCCACAACATTTAGTCAACGTTTCAGTTGGCATTATATGCTAAGTGTGTCTGCTGATATTGGTGTGGACTAAAGGTTAGAACCTAATTATAAAGATATGTGGTTTCATATTTATAGTTTATCAGTTATTAAAAAAAAATCTTTACCATAAGTTTTAGAGATTATAGTTCTGCAGGGCCTTCACACTGGAAAAAAAGAAATACACAATATCTTAACAAGTGATGAAATAGCAAATTTATTGACTGAGCTTCCGGATGAATACCTATCTGAGTGATGCCAATTATGACAGCTATGAAGATTTCATTCCTCCTCAAGGTGCCCATATATTTCCGATTCTGAAGAGGAAGATGAAGAGTTGCAAGAGGCCACATGTCAACAGCATGATTCTGCTATGGGAGAAAATGTAACTGGGAAAAAGTCCCCCCCCCAACAACAATGAAACAATTTTCTTTCACAAAATGAGTGTTTGTTGCAACCTGTTGCAGTTTCAATTCATTACTTTCACCATTTATTTACCAAAAATATTCTAGATGAAGTAATTGCTCAAACCAATGACTATGTTTGTAAAGTACTCTCCTGCCATGAAACAAACATTCTAGAATTAATGCTTGGAAGGAAACAACAAAAGATGAAATGTTCGTATTAGTAGGATTAATTTTACGTATGAGAACTATAAGAATAAACCACATTCAAAATTACTGGAAAAAATGTAACACTTTTTGGCTTGAGCATATTCTAATGGTTTTCTTTTGCTGCTGAGGGCATTGCACTTTGCAACAATCCCAGAGCAAAATGCAGAACCTCAAAGAATGGACTATATCGAATTGGAAATATGTTGAATTTGAAGTGTTCTCCTTCTTGGATCTCATGAAGCAGCACACAGCATTCACATTGAAAAATCAACCACTCTGCTCACCTTAAATTATGGTGATACTACTGCTTAAAATGCAAATTTAGTCTAATTTCCACCTTTTCAGGAGATTTTTAGTTGCAGGTATTTTAGTTTCAGATATTTTTACATTCTCCTATTCTCACACCAGAAGAATCTTTCCTCTGGCCATGCTTATATTTTTGATCAAAGAGGACTTGCAGTTCTTCAGCAGTAGTATAACATAAAGAAATGTGTCAGCTTCTCTTTTGTTCTCGTTGTTTATACACAGAATATACTTTTTTATTTTCTATTTAACTTCATTTAGCATGTGATGAAATTTGCTGTTCATAATAAAGGACAAAGTTCATTATGGTATACATTTATGGATCCACATTTATATTTGTTATTTAAGACGTCAGAGGAACTATTGTAATAAGAATTCATACCTGCCTTATTTCTCCTTCTCCAGCTTCTAGAAATTTTATTCCCACTCTTTCCTTTTTATATGTTGCAACAGGATAACCCAATGTCAGCATCCTATGAATGCAAACAAAATATTTTAATTTGTTCTTAAGAATAAAAAGTAAAGTTAAATTAAATTTTAAAAAACCTACCTGATTACCTAGCTTGTTTCTCTGATTCTTTTTTTTTCCCCCCTTCAAAATGAAACTTTCAAGGTTCTAATAGTTTGGTTTTCTTTAGTTTATAATTTTTGCACTTAGCTTTATATAAATTTTACTTACAGTATATGTTTAAATACAATAGTTCATTTTAACTTTAAATTTTAGTGAATTAAATTAGCAATACCATTTAAATTCCCAGTTTTTTTTTATTATTATTTATTTTATTGTCCAAAAATTAAGAATTTTTACTTTAAAAATTCACTGTATTGTATTTACATATTTAAATGATATTGTAGATTAATTTGCAGCAATAATTAATCATTTACTTGTTTGCAATTAAATTTCATTAACTTTTAATTTTGCTTTTTATGAATAGAGAATGTTTGTTAAATTTAATTTGTTCTTATATATTCTACATACTATCTTCCTTTGAACATATAATTTTATATTATATTTAATGCCAAATGTTGAGACATTAAAAAGACTCTGTAAGGAAGAAAAAATAACTTTCCCTTTTCTGGAAATTTTTTGGGACATCCTACATGAAAACCTAATGTTACAGTTATGCATTACTCTAAATAATCCATATTTCATAAGATATTATGAAATTACTTTCCTAACTCACATTAAAAAACAAATTTCCATGGTAAATTTTTAAATGATTAAATGTAACTCGTTTACAAATTTATAGTAGATTTGTAAATGAGTTACATTTAATCAGAAAAAGTGAGAAAAAAAGCAGCGTACCAGTGGATAAGATGAGGTAATTTTCTATTTTTGGCAATATTAAAAGACCTTTTCACACTGTCTGAGATTTTCTGATCTGCACTAAGAAGCATTATTCCACTAGTGTACCTAATACAATGATAATTAGAAATTATTATTATTCACATATTTTACGAATGATATTAATTTAAGCATTCATAATGGAATTAAAAAAAGCATAATCTGAAGTTATAAAAAATCAATCTAAATAAATCACTGAAAGTTATACCAAAATTAATTCACATTTTACTAGATTCATTAAGTCATATAGGATAATGGATTAAATAAAAATAATGTCCCTAAAGTGTATTTAAAATGGCATCAAAGATTACATATAACACTTATCTGAATCAGCTAGATGCCAAAATTTGGCTATGGTTTAGAAATCGATTTTTAATTGTATCTAATTAGGAAGTTATCTCACACAATGAATAAAACTTACTTTTCAGCTGATTTTAAGATAGATAAATTAGAAACATTTAAATAATTTTTCAAATGTGGTAAAGCATCTTCTACAGTAAAATCACATACAGGAACTGATGATGCATTATTCTGCCCAGTTTTTGACCTAGCACCTTAAAAAATAAATAAGTAAAAAATTCTTTATGTAGCTCAGGAAAAATAATCCTTAAAAATAAAAATCTATAATTTCAGATGATATAATTAGTTTCAAGTGAAATTTCTTATTAAAATGAAATTTTAATTAAAAAATTTCTAAGAACTTAGAAGAAAATTTTCAAAAATATAATATTTAACTAAAAATTTACTTTATATAGAATTATATGAATTAATATTCAACATAAACTGTTTAAAATAAAATTTATGCAATAATTTTCAATGCCACTTGGCTTCAAACATGTATACTACTGCAAAACCTAAACTACAGGTATGAATAGCAACCCTAATGATAATATACAAATATATGAAAAGAATGGCTGTTTTATTAAAACCAGAGTAAATGAATAAATAAGACACTAACACAGAAATTCACAAATATAAACTAATATAGTTATTACAACTGACAGTTGTAAGATCAATTCTTTCATAGTTATAACTGAGAGAATTCTGGTGTTAGGAACTTGAGCCTTCAATCCAGCATCTGCTTTACAATTCTTTCTTTTCAGAACAAAATCTTCTGTTACAACACCATTTAAGTCCTTCGATATTTGGTGGAAGTAAAATCTAGTTTCATTTCATGGCCTACAGAACAGTCTTTCATTATGAATGATACTTTCGTCTTGAAAGAACTTCATTATGTCTCTTCATCATTTGGCAACTGTCAAACTCAATAATACATTCTTATTCTTTCTTTTTAATATAACACTTTAAAAAAAAATAATCAACTGAAAATTACTAATTCCTTCCTCTTATTAGTGATGACATAGTGCTAGTTCCACAGTTACCGCATAAACCAATTATCACATTTGGCAATTTTATGCATAATTAAGACTGACACCTTGTTAACTAAAACAAATACCATTTATGCAGTATCAAATGTACAATCCTCAACATAGATTATACTTTTTAAAAGACTACACAGTATCACTTGAGGTAGTACATCATATTGAGAAGAGAAATAATGAAATCATTCCTTACATAGTATATTGAACTATAATGAAAATATTATTTATCAATTGTATATAATAAAAAATCTAAATAGTACTGGAAAACGATAGCTAAAGAAATTTCCAGCTATGTTTTATGGTTATCTGAATGCAACTTTATTACTCTCTAATGATTTCATTCAAAAATAATCTACACTTAATGATAAACTTTCTGATATTCTGTATCGAAGTTCAGTTATTAGATTTAAATAAAAACAGCAACATTAATACATAGAGACATTCAAAATCGTAAAAAACAACCTTATATTTAGCGTAGGTATAATGAAACACTCAATCGATTTCGAGGGCAGCTAAAGGTCCCTCCTCATCAGGAGAAAGAAATACATAGAAAGAAAATAGGAATCACAGAAACACGTGGTGCTTATCAGCACTGCACGTGGTTATAACTAGATTTTTAATCAGAGTTGCACTGGCCGCCTACTTTTACTGAGCCAGGCTGTCTGATCAAGCATAAAGAAATATTAGCAAAGTTAAAATAGGGAGCGAGGGGCAAATGCACATTACGCTCAAAATCTGAACTTCAAATAATGGAAAGCAACCACTGAACGGATTTTTATACCCTCTGGTAGTACCAAGTGCGAGGAGGTAACGCCATCTATCGGCAAAAATAATTGAATTAAGACAGTAGAATTTTAAAGGCATTAGGAAGGACTGGATTGGACTTCAAATCATTAACTAAACTTTCTAAATCTTTGTGAATGTGAAAAGCCTCAAGAAAATCCAATTCGCCTATGGAAGAAGCCTTTTGGATGATTTTTGCAGACCCAAAATCAAAATTATGGTTAAAAGTCCAGCTATGATATGCTATTGAAGACTTGTTAATTTCCCCTTTTTTGACATAAGATTCATGTTCCTTGATACGAAACTTCAACACTCTTTTTGTTTGGCCAATATATCTTAAACCACACTGACATGATATACTATAAATTCCCCAAGAATTCAAGACAGAAATGCAATCTTTTAGAATCGAAGGGTGAATTTTATTAATAGGGGAGAAACCGACTTGAAAATTGAATTTCTGGAGAATCCGTGCAATTTTATAGCTAACAGAAGGATAAAATGGAAGCACGACAAGGTCATTGATATTATTTCTAACAGTGGAATGTCTTCTTTGATGGGAATCTGAAAATTTTTTGACGGCTTTATCAATAATCACGGGAGAAAATCCACGTTCAATCGCAACTGCTCTCAAATAATTAAGTTCATTGGTAAGCAAAGATTCAGAGGAACAAACCTTTAGCGCGCGGAAAACATAATAGTAAAAAGAAGCCATTTTTTGCTTAACAGGGTGGCATGACTTGGCATGGGGTGTTAACAAACTGCAAAGGGTTTACTGTACAGAGTGGTGCTAAAATCGGTTTCATTGCGGATTATAAGAATATCGAGGAAGGGGAGGGAATTGTTGGATTCAATTTCAAGAGTGAATTGGATGGCTGGATCAATTGAATTCATAATAGATAGAATCTCGGATAAATCCTCTTTATAACCGTCAAAAAGTGCGAAAGTGTCGTCAACATACCGAATCCAAAGACGAAAAAGATAATTTATCAAATAATTTCATCTCAAAATAGTGCATATAAATGTCAGCAAGTACCGGACTGAGAGGATTACCCATAGCCAATCCTTCAACTTGACGAAAATATGCATTTTGGAAAACAAAGTGGGTTTGACTTAGAGAAACTTTAGTAAGCGAAACCAACTCATTAATTTCAGTATGTGTGAAGTGAAATTCCCGAAGCCTAGTTTCAAGACAATTTAGTGCTCCTTCGACCGGAACATTAGTAAACAATGATTTGACATCAAATGAAACCGTAATGGAACGAAGTGGGGAAATATTTTTAAGTTTATCAATTAATAAATAATTGATATTTATTAACAGAATCTGACTTCAACAGAATTTTTTACAGTGTGAATATTGTTATCAAGTAGAGGAGAAAATCTGGAAACTAAATATTTGGCCAAAGGATATGAAGCAGTACCTATGTTGGAAACAATTGGTCGAAAAGGAATACCGGTTTTGTGGACTTTTGGAAGAGCATAAAGTCTAGCGCAATTAGTAATAGGCGGAATAAGTGATTTCTTCAACTGAGTTGGCAGAATGTGGGAAGATTTAATAGCACTTTTTACTTTCATGAGGTCCGAAGTTGAAGGATCTTTAGGGATCGAGCAGTATGGGCCTTCATTTATCAATTTAGAGACTCCAGTAATATATGTGTGTTTGTCCATAACAACGATCTGTCAAAGCTGATAAGGGCGGACAGATCGTTGTTATGGACAAACACACATATATTAATATATTACTGGAATCTCTAAATTGATAAATGAAGGCCCATACTGCTCGATCCCTAAAGATCCTTCAACTTCGGACCTCATGAAAGTAAAAAGTGCTATTAAATCTTCCCACATTCTGCCAACTCAGTTGAAGAAATCACTTATTTATTCGCCTATTACTAATTGCGCTAGACTTTATGCTCTTCCAAAAGTCCCACAAAACCGGTATTCCTTTTCGACCAAACTGTTTCCAACATAGGTACTGCTTCATATCCTTTGGCCAAATATTTAGTTTCCAGATTTTCTCCTCTACTTGATAACAATATTCACACTGTAAAAAATTCTGTTGAAGTCAGATTCTGTTAATAAATATCAATTATTTATTAATTGATAAACTTAAAAATATTTCCCCACTTCGTTCCATTATGGTTTTCATTTGATGTCAAATCATTGTTTACTAATGTTCCGGTCGAAGGAGCACTAAATTGTCTTGAAACTAGGCTTCGGGAATTTCACTTCACACATACTGAAATTAATGAGTTGGTTTCGCTTACTAAAGTTTCTCTAAGTCAAAAACCCACTTTGTTTTCCAAAATGCATATTTTCGTCAAGTTGAAGGATTGGCTATGGGTAATCCTCTCAGTCCGGTACTTGCTGACATTTATATGCACTATTTTGAGATGAAATTATTTGATAAATTATCTTTTCGTCTTTGGATTCGGTATGTTGACGACACTTTCGCACTTTTTGACGGTTATAAAGAGGATTTATCCGAGATTCTATCTATTATGAATTCAATTGATCCAGCCATCCAATTCACTCTTGAAATTGAATCCAACAATTCCCTCCCCTTCCTCGATATTCTTATAATCCGCAATGAAACCGATTTTAGCACCACTCTGTACAGTAAACCCTTTGCAGTTTGTTTACCACCCCATGCCAAGTCATGCCACCCTGTTAAGCAAAAAATGGCTTCTTTTTACTATTATGTTTTCCGCGCGCTAAAAGTTTGTTCCTCTGAATCTTTGCTTACCAATGAACTTAATTATTTGAGAGCAGTTGCGATTGACCGTGGATTTTCTCCCGTGATTATTGATAAAGCCGTCAAAAAATTTTCAGATTCCCATCAAAGAAGACATTCCACTGTTAGAAATAATATCAATGACCTTGTCGTGCTTCCATTTTATCCTTCTGTTAGCTATAAAATTGCACGGATTCTCCAGAAATTCAATTTTCAAGTCGGTTTTTTTCCCCTATTAATAAAATTCACCCTTCGATTCTAAAAGATTGCATTTCTGTCTTGAATTCTTGGGAATTTATAGTATATCATGTCAGTGTGGTTTAAGATATATTGGCCAAACAAAAAGAGTGTTGAAGTTTCGTATCAAGGAACATGAATCTTATGTCAAAAAAGGGGAAATTAACAAGTCTTCAATAGCATATCATAGCTGGACTTTTAACCATAATTTTGATTTTGGGTCTGCAAAAATCATCCAAAAGGCTTCTTCCATAGGCGAATTGGATTTTCTTGAGGCTTTTCACATTCACAAAGATTTAGAAAGTTTAGTTAATGATTTGAAGTCCAATCCAGTCCTTCCTGATGCCTTTAAAATTCTACTGTCTTAATTCAATTATTTTTGCCGATAGATGGCGTTACCTCCTCGCACTTGGTACTACCAGAGGGTATAAAAATCCGTTCAGTGGTTGCTTTCCATTATTTGAAGTTCAGATTCAGATTTTGAGCGTAATGTGCATTTGTCCCTCGCTCCCTATTTTAACTTCGCTAATATTTCTTTATGCTTGATCAGACAGCCTGGCTCAGTAAAAGTAGGCGGCCAGTGCAACTCTGATTAAAAATCTAGTTATAACCACGTGCAGTGCTGATAAGCACCACGTGTTTCTGTGATTCCTATTTTCTTTCTATGTATTTCTTTCTCCTGATGAGGAGGGACCTTTAGCTGCCCTCGAAATCGATTGAGTGTTTCATTATACCTACGCTAAATATAAGGTTGTTTTTTACGATTTTGATTGTCACATTAGCGTGTTTCTCTTCTAGTCTACATAGAGACATATTTATTTGATGAGTGTTAGCAAAAATTATTGGTAGTAACATTTAATAAACAATAAAAATTAAATTATAAATAATAAAAATAACTCAGCAATAGGCAAAACATTGCAGAAACAAATTATTCAGGCTGATATAGTTCATATACACAAGACAAATAACAATATGTAATAACAGTAAGCAATATGAGCAGCCTTGAAAACAAGCAGAGTAATTTATAATAACATTCATTACACAAAATTCAGTAAATAAATAAATAGCTAACAAACTATTTGATCAACATACAGAAAACATTTCATACTAAAATATTTCATATATGTTACTTACTTAAAAAAAGAAAAAATTATATAAAAATCCGGAAAATGTGACAAAGTTTTTCTAAACCCTTGGACTCAAGCTCTTAATTGACCCGAAATGACCCATTTTATTAATTGAAATTTTTTATTCTACAAAATGAAAAATAAATTTTTATCTTTTCTATTATAGAAGAATATATGACAAACAAATTTATCTAAAAAAATATGCATAACTTCATACTGCCTGCAAGAAAATATACTTTCATTGTCAGCTCATTTCTGCAATGGTGAAATTTATCATTTAACCTTCCAGCATGCGCGTATGCGCAAAATTTATGACAAATTCAGTTTTTAATGCACATTTTTCACATATCGAAGCCGAGACATCTGAATGTCATTTCTATTCCTCATTTCTACCCTTCCCCACATCATGGAATGTGCCAACAGGAAGTCATTTGACCCTTTTTTACTGGGAATTTGTGCTACGTGGCACCTTTTTCATGAAAGTTACAACATGCGCCTGTCCGTGGGTGAAAATTTGGAAAATATTTTTTATTCAAATATTTTGTAATTTTGTGTTATTAATTGCCGTGTATTATTTTAATTTGACTACATTTGGCTCTGTAAATTTTATATAAGTTTTCATGGCAAAAAAATATGTGCAGCCAGCTGATTTTGCTCGCATTCTTCAAGAATTATCTGATGAAGAAAAGGAAGACCTTTGAATGGGAAAACAATAGCGATTTCGATTCCTTATTTTCTTTCATTTTTATTTTTTAGAAATAAATAAAAATATTAAAGTTAGTTTAAAGTATGCTTTTCTAACCAGTAAGAAGTATGTTTCCTTCCAGAATGCTAAACTTAGTGTTTTTCCTACCAAGGTGTTTTCCTTTTTTATTAGTCTACACTTCCCTTTGATGAATATTAAAATTAGCTTCGATTTTAAAATATAATTATTAAATAATAAATTTAAAATGTTCTATAATGAAATCCATCATTGCATTTCTATCTCACTAACATAAGAACTTGAAAATAATTCATTTATTTGAATGTGATATCATTTGTATTTTGCAATAATAAGATTAATATTTTATTTCTTACCAAATTTATTATCAACATTCACTCATTTCTGTCATTTTTCGTGCCAAAAACGGTAAACTAACGGATGTTGTAAAATACGACGGGCGCATGCTCATGTAAATTTGCTAAGCGTGTGTGGTGGACGGTTAAGCGATAAGAAATATCTCTCTTTGTATTTGTTAAATTAGGCTAAGCATAAGAAATATCTCTCTTTGTATTTGTTTCTCTATTGTATTCGTGTCAATTGATAAAGCAAGAAAGAAGCAAGCAAGTGCCACCATCTAGCAATACAGGCAGTCGGGAAAACATCTTTTATTCCCTTAAATTAGGAAGATGTTTCTTCTTTGCTGCTGACCTGGCGAAAAACAAGGATAATTATTGGAATAACATTTCAGCTGCTTTCAGTATTCTCAATAATATTTCAACAGTTTTTGCATTTTTTATTTCTTGAATGATTTTGAAAATTTCTTTGATTATTACAATTAATTTCCTTTCCTTCTTTTTTATTTTCCAATTTTCTATGGTTTTTTTGACATGGAGATTTCTGAGTTAAAGGAAAATTTCTTCAGTCTTTTGTAAAGGAATTTGGAAATTTTCCGCATTTTCTTCTGAAACTTCGGAATTTTCTTTTTATATACAAGGCATCCACAATAATTGCTGATGTGTGGACCTTTGCAGAATAAACAAACCAGAGGTTTTTTTTTTTTTTTTTTTTTTTTTTCTCTTAGTTTTAGGCACTCGGAACTTTTGTAATTTTTCCCACAGATAACACAGCGAGTTTGACTAAAGCAAAATTGTTGGGTATGGCCATATCTTTGACATTTGAAGCATTAGGTAGGTCCACACTTTTATGGTCCATATTCTTCAATGTGTACTTTAATACACATAATATTCACCAACATTTCAATACTTACAAAATAGGTAATACAACATATATTTTAATGAAATGTTTACTGTCCTAAAATGACTTTATACTGAAATTTTTTGTAAAAGGCTGAAAATATGTCATCATTAAATATAAAGATGATGAAAAATATTGACATTTTTTATGTGAGTGTAACAGATTTATGTCTATTGTGGAACACATATCATTGGGATAACAAAAAAACAAAACAGAAACAACAAAAAAATTACCACACATACATTTGAAGTGAAGAATCTAGACTGGTATATTTGCAGTCAGTTAATAAATAGATTAAAAATAAATAAACATTAATAAAAAAAAGAAGATTCTAGCAAAATATTTCTAACTAGTGGAAAGGTTATTTACCTGGTTTGTCATGACCATATACTTTGATACCAAACGGCTTGTTAAGGACTACTAAACCATCTGAAAGAGAAAATGATTAAAATCTAATCTACAATTTATACGTATCTATTTAATACCAAGGATTGAAAACCTTGTTGAAATTATATAAATTACAAAAATATACATATTTAAGCACAGTATATCCAAAAAATTCCTATCCCTCTGTCATAATCCTTGTAAATCATGCAATATAATGTAACGAACATACTGGGCACATCTCACTAGCTTTTCAAGAGGATCATGAAAGCAATATGTGACACTGCTACATGAAATTACAAACTAATGTTCCATAATAAAACTGAAAGAGAAACATAAAGGATCATTCCTCTTTGTTGACAGCTTCAAATATTTTACCATTAAAAGATCAGAATATAATTGCTATAACCTCTAGACACAGTGTGTTTGCCCCTGATTCAAAACCTGAATGATCATTACCATGAATTTCTCAATTATTGTCACAAATTAAACTTTAAAAATAAAGCAGCAGTTCAGAGTTCAAATAAATAATTAGTATTTTATATTTATTAATCACAGTTCAATTTTAAATCAGCTGTGGTTTTAAAATACACCTTCTAAGAAAGATAAGGACAGGGTCTTTTTTCTCAAGCAGCAAAAAAGTCTTCAATTATTTTTTCAGAAAAAATTTGATTCTTGACAAAAGACACCATACCTGTTTCGTATGAAATTATTTTTGATTCCATCAGTTTTCTAAATTTAAAAAAAAAAAAAAAAAAACTGAAACTTAAATTTTTTGTACGCTCTTTCTAACATTTTATAGATATTTCCCCACACAGGAACACACACTACAGACGTAAGTAGTTTATAAATTTTGTTTGGCACTACATTAATTATTTCTCAGAATAAAAATAATTTTTTTTAAAAAAAGCTCTTACTCATCAGTTTATATTCCTGTTTTATTCAGTAAACTGGTCAAGAGTTAAAGGAAAGTACATATGAGCTTATACCTAAAAAGATATGCCTTCATAGAAGACATTTTATTGACTCACATTCGTGTTACACAAAGGAAAAATCGTGAAAAACCTGTCAGCTTAATTGTGGAACTAGACACAAACTGTTAACAGCATTATTCGGCAAGTGGATACGCATTTCTGTCCACTAAAAGTCAAGTAGCACAAGTGGAAATTATAGCTATGTCATAAGTTACAATGTTTAGTTACAAATGGCTGCTCTTTGTGTCATATATATAATACAGTCAAAAGTCGTTAATCCGGACACCCATAATCCGGAATGATCTATAATCTGAACCTCAAAGCTACAAAACTTTCTGCGCATATGCATGAGCGCATGCGCATAATACATTTACGCATGCACTTTTAATGTATAACCGACGGTATAAGCTAAAATGATCTAATTATCTATTTCAGTTAATGTTGCAGATTGTGTTATTCTTTAATCTTCGAATTGGATCCGGCTTATTATTTTTTGCAGAGAGTTAGAGCAATTTTATAAAAGTAAGCTCGAACTTTCGACTGTGTCAAATAGAATTTCCGATGCTGGAGCTTCCAAAGGATCTACAAAGCAAAAGTATGTTTCGATGTCCATCAAACAAAAAGTGGAATTGCTGCAAAAAATTGATAAAGGCATATCCTTGTTTCTCTAACCATTTCGAAATCTGTTTATCATTTTCAAACTGCTCCGCGGGGGGGGGGGGGGGGACGTCGCGGCGCGCAATGAATTGGAAGTTGATCTGTCAGCACTATCCTTATCTTCAGGGCAGATGATTTGATTTTATTTGGCTTATAATTCCTTACTAAATGTAGTATTTCATCTCGATGTACTCCGTCTTTGATATGATTTAAATCAAATTCCTCGTCATTATTCGCTTCCGATAGTGAAGAAAGTAACAGGTTATTGAAAACGAAAAAATATAGATTGACAAATTAGTCGGTATTCTCGACACAGCAATTATAGAAGTTGAAGAGCGGAACTTTGTAACTGAACAAGAAATCATGTCTGTTTACATAATTAAAGAGAAAGTATTATCACATAAAGCGAAGCAACTTTAACAACTTACATTGAAAGAAATGTTTAATAAAGTAAACAAATAAATATTAAGCTCTTTTTTTTTTTTTTTTTTTTTTTTTTTTTGTAAATTTTGATACTCTTTAAATCATAATTGTTCTTTATTTCATAAATTAAGGTTTCATATTTTTAATTTTGTAATTTCTGTATGCCATCTTACCAGATTTAAACTGATGATCTATAATCCGGAAAAATCAATAATCCAGAATCGCTGAAGTCCCGACGAGTCCAGATTAACGACTTTTGACTGTATATTCAAATTGTAAGGCCCACAAGTGTCTATTCAAGCCCATGCATGACTAATTTGACACTAAAAACTCTAGATTCATGAGAGAACAGTGATTTTGATATCCAAATTTTCTCAAAGACTGAATTGGAAGTTTGTCTTGCTTACACCTCACAATCCAGAACAGTGGCTACTGCATTATGAACTTGATCTGTTAAGTAATTAAAGCCTTATAAATTTATGAGAATTGCAAAAGTAAACTTAATTCAAAGTTATGTGAATGAAATTTATTTCTTCACCTTTTTTTTTTCCTCGATAGTCTAATGAACATATTAGTTGAAGAAACTAATAATTTCTATGAACAAAAGATGAAAGAAAATCCATCTTCATTCAAAATCAACAAACTCCTCTACATGTGACTAAAATGGATTCCCTGGATTAATTATTCGGCTAATCTTTGGAATATGGTAACAGGTAGTTTGGCGACATTTTGGTAAGGCGATAAACGTTACTAGCTAGGACTTTAGCAGTGTACATGGATAAAGTCAAGAGTGCGCGCAATGCCATTTTTGTGCAATTCTGGGATTTTTTTAAGTGAAAATTGGTCGACGTATACATGGATACCGTGTATGTGCAATTCTTAAAAACACGGCAAGCAGTGGGCAATTCTGCACTGTCTCCCAATTTCGCAGCTAATCTTCGTCGTGATTAAGCACTTTTGTTGCATAAAAGTTCTAGCATAAGCATAATTCGGCTAGCAGATTGTTGGAAAAAAATGTTGAGTAAAAAAAAAAAAAATTCCTTTGCTTCGTGAAAACAAAATGGTGTCCAAAACAAAACTAGCAGGTTGCTGTAGCAGGGTTGGTCGCCAAATTTTCGCCAGGTTACCATAATCCAAAGATTAACTTGAACTTCTTTTTAAGTTAGGGTTAACGAATTGAAATATCCCTACACTGCGTACTACTTGCACGTCTTCTGATTGTACTTCTACAACACACTGTCTCCAAGGCGAGTTACGCTAAGTGGCATGCCGTCGCATAAGAGGTTTACCTAATGACCCATATATCATACTCCCGGCGTGAAAGGGTTAAATGTACTATTGAGTAACAATAAGACAGTACACTACAAGCAAATTACTCTGCTCTTTGATGAAATATTCCCATAAATGTTGTACTAGTATGTGTGCTTGCATAAAAAATTATTATTTTTATGAATTGTTATTTCAGTTACAAGGTAATAAAATATATTATCTCACTTTTAGAAAAATAATAGATTAATAAAAGTTACTGATTTGTTGAGTTTAAGAGTAAATATTATTGCTGTATAAAAATATGAGAAATGATTCCTTTCTGACTTCAATGCACTTATTTCAACGTTATTGCCAACCTTCAAAACCAGGGCTGTGGAGTTGGTAAGGAAAGTGGCTGACTCTAATTCCCTCATATATATATGTAAACATATACACATGGGTTACAGCTTATTTTTTTAATATAAAAGAAGTAATAGATGCTACAGAAAAAAAAAATCGATGTCATAGGAAATTATTTATATTAATTACCATTTATTATGAAATTGAAAAACTGCCCTTAGTTACTTCTAAGAAACAGTATAGCGTCGGCAAGATCTTCTTTGTTGGAGGGCCATAGATCCAGTTTGATAAACTTAGAGCTCAGAAGAGTCTTTCTACACAACTTGAATAGGAGGAAGAGCTGTTACTACTTCTTTCAACTTCTCAGGATAGATTTTTATAAGTTCTAAAAGAGGTGTCTTGCAAGTGCAATCATATTTCCCTATTTCTTCAAAGGCTGTGTAAAAATCTTGTTGTATTTTTTCATTTTTATATCTAAAGGCTCTTGGTTCTGTATTTTCATTCACTTTGCCTTAGCCTTTTCAATATTATCTAAGAATACTTCTCAAATCTAATTCATCACTGGAAGAGGATGATAGATACTCAATTGCAATGTCTGCAGTTTGATTCTCCTGATTCGAACTCTCCAATTGTTCTGAAAATAATTTCATTCTTAATGAAAGTTCATAGATGGCTTTCTTTGCCTTTTTAATTTGTTTGTCATCCAAGAAAATTTGGTGCTTCGGATCTACATATATTGAACTCATCAAGATCTCATTGTCTAGCTAACTAGTTTCTCTTTTCTTCATTGAAGAAATGATTCCTTCTGCAATAAACCCTCCATTTCAAAAAGAACAATCCCATACTTCCATTCTCACCTCCTGTCAATTCTTCAGATTGCAGCTTTTTCGTGGTGATATACGGTGTAGAAAGAAAAGTTCCCAATTCTGCAAGATCATTTCACAGTATTTATGTTAGTGACACATTAAGGTTATCTATATCTTCTAAAATGTTCTCAGTTCTAAAAACCTCCTTATCGTCAAATATGCACTTCCTTATCGCATTGCTGGATCAATAATTGCTTCTTTTCCTGCTTGTTTCCCAAGAATGGCATCAATTTTGGGAGTTCTTGCTGCTATTGCCGCTCACCTAAATTTACCACTGAGATTTGTAACTAAACGAGGTAACTAAATGAATCACTAATGGAATATATCACATCCATCCCTCACTCTTATATTTATTTTTATTAATATGTCAATAAAATAGAAAATAACTATTTATTAATATATACAGTTCATAAATAAAAATAATAACTCAGTTTGTCATTAATTTTTTCAATTCATTTTAATTTCATTCCAAATTCAATCTGTTCAACAAAAACTGGAGTCGGAGTCGACCTGTTTT